TAACATTTTTAGAAAATTTGACATATGAAGTTTTAAAGCTTGTTGTCAATAAAACAATATAGCATACATATCAAATTGCATATATATCAACATATGTATAACTCCATCTATTGAAAAAAATCCGCATTGTTAACCAGTACACCTAGTATATGTGTGTAAATATTTGTTTGTATACTTATTTAGTTATTTATTTATAAAAAAACACTAGCTGTAGACTATGTGTGTGTTTGGGTTCTGTGTAGGGAAGCAAGTTAATGCTAAGACTGAAGAATATTAAAATACAGATGTTGATTTTAGCTAGGCTTCCTCTGGCCTTTTCAAAGAAGCCATACAAAATGTCTGGGACCAGGTTGTCCCCATTGCATCCTTATCTCTTTAAGGGTTTTTGCATGACTGTGACTTGTTTGAAGAAGAGATTCAATAAAGATTGCAGTGAGTCACCTCAGACTAAGTCAGGAGATGAAGGAAGCTGATAAAGAACCATCAAGCGCCACTTTGTCTCCTGCAGGTCAGGAGATGGAACCCAGGGAAAGGATCACGCGGGAGGCAGAACCTCTCTGTCTAGTGCACTTTATTCAGAGCTATAATGCCTTCTAACCCATTGAAGGTGACCTTGTTCCCTCAGCCCTTGGGGACCAAGGAGAATCCAGCCAAAGGGCTGCCTGGAGAGCTAAGGACAGAGAAAATGGTTTCCTTTTGTTTTCATTCAAGAGTGAGATGGAAGCAGCCATAGTCTAATACCTAATAGCTGGGGTGAACATTCCAGAAGACAGGGAACTAAGATAAATTTCAAGGAGCCAGGTGTCGCTGTCAATAATGACTGTTCTCTGCCCTGGAGAGAGCCCCCAACAACAGCAGCCCTGACATGCACAAAGGGACACAGGTGGCACCACTGTGAGTCGGGAGGAGACCTGGGCACAGGCCAATGCGGCTGTCTCAGTGCCAGGCGTCTGTCCATGATCCCCCCCACCCCCCGCCAGGAGCATCAGGCAGCCATGCCACATTTAAAAACAAGCCAAGAAAACTGGGCCACACTGGGTTAGCTGGCTGGCTGATGGGTAACTTTGGAAAGCAGGGCCTGATTTAGTAGAGCAAAGAAAGCCCATCTGGGGACATGGGACTAATAGTATAAAACCAAAGAGATTGCTGTATAGGCACCCCTAAGAAGAGTATCCTGTGAGCTAGACAATTATTCAATAACACCTACAGGCCAGGCCCCATCCACCGGATTCCTGGTGGCTAGATCTGGGGCCTCTCTGTGAAAGCCATCACCAGCTGGGGATCCCCCTGAGGCAGAACAGGGTGGGTGCCCCCACCCAGTGACAGAGGTGCCTTCACTTTCCCAGGGGACTTGTGAAGGAGGGGACAAGGGATGGGCAGACCACCACTGTCTGTCTGCTTGAGCTTCTAATTCTGATTGTGAAGCTTGATTATTCATCTTTTACAGCTTAGAAAAGTTAAGTAAGTTGGCCAAGGTTACTCAATTAAGGTAAGGAAGAGGGGATTGAACCCAGGTCTGCGAGGCTGCAAGAAGGGTGGGTATTCTTTTCCTACACACACACCCTTCCACGGTCTTTCTTTACTCAGAATATATAGCTCTATTCTTTTTATAAACATTTCTTCATTTTTGAAAGTATTACATATGTCCTGTAGCTCTATTCTTCTTGGAGGAAGGCACCCCTCCTTCCAAGCCCTTAGCACCGCACCCTTCAACCTTGGAACTTTGTCCTGTGGAAATACACTCAAGGTCGATGATTAGATATCCCCATGAAATCTGGCACCTGGGGAAAGGTGACAGGCCAGGCCACTGAACTTGAGAACAGAGGCTGGACTCTGCTCAGGGGCCATGCACTTCAGGGACAATGACAGTGTCTGTGTTTATGTGTTCAGGTGTCTGAGTGTGTGTGAACATGTGTTTGAATATGATTGAGTGTATGTGATTATGTGTAGTGTGTGGTGAGTTGTGACCTCATGTAAAAGTTCATGAATGTATATGTGTGGGAATATGAATGTGAGTGTGGATGCATGCATGGGTGTGCAAGAGTGAGTGCACAGGGCTGACATTCAGCAGGTACGCAAAGGTATGCACAGGTGTTGCTGAATCCATGCTTCAACCATGAAAACTACTTCTGAATTACAATTGATTTGCCTCAGCAACAGATGGCAGATAGCCACTACACCCACTCCCCTGCCCACCAGTGGCCCTGCCACCACCCTGGATGCCCAGCTCATTCTCCAATGCCCTCAGGAAACTGGGGGCGGTGCCTGTCACAGCAGGGGCCTCTGGGATGCTGTTCCAGCTTCTGTTCTCATGCCCAATGCCAGTCTCCAAAGCTGTAGACTTTACTTTGACTAACAACCTTATATGTGTGATTTTTGTGAATGTGTGAACATGGATGAATGTGTATCCCTGTGCTGTGCAAAAATTATGAGTGTGATAGGGGCAGAAATAGAATATTGGGGACCAAGTATAATTGAAGAAATACTAATCATACTCTATTAACTGTGATTGTTTTGTTCTTATTAAAGAAGATACATAATAACCCGGCTGGGACTTGCACATGGGACCTTGTTTCTCCCTGTGACACCCACTCAGACCCTTTGCTTTCCTTAACTGGTTCTTGCCTTTGCCCCTAAAATGGGCCCTGTTCCTCATACCTTTGTGTCACTAAAGATCTGGAGCTCCTGTCCTCATGTTGGTGGGAATAAACAGAGGGTGCTGCCTGTGGGCTTGCTGCCTACAGGATATGGAGAATACTAATCAAAACAATAGCTAACATTGATCAAACACTTATTATGGATCATACTATGCTTGTTATTTATTTACATGTCTCATTGAAATGCACCCCTCCCCTTTAACCCCAAGAGATGTTCTCCCCACAGTGTACATGAGAAAAAGTGAGACCAAAGGAAGTTAATGTAACTCATTTCAGGTCACACAGCACAAGAGAGGTGGTTCTGGGACCCAGACCCAGCATAATGGACATAAGAGAAAAATCAACAAGATGGTCCACACACAAGCACCTGTGCACATATGGTAGAGGAGAAAACAAAATGAAGCCAGAGAGGCAAAATTAAACCTAATGTTTAGATGTTGAGTGAGGGAGGGTAAGGAAAAAGGGAGTGAGAATCCAAATGAGAAAGGAAAGTTTATGTAAGAGGGGTGGGGGTAAGAAGGAAGACATTTGGAGAGTGTGCTGAAGGTGATGTCTAAAAGTGGGGGAGTTTAAAACTTCTCATCATTTTCAGGGAGTTCCGGTAAGGTTTACATAACTTGTCAATGCGTTTTATATGTTTTACTTGAGTTTCTGTTGAATGTCACACTCCGGGGGACATGATTATGAGCCATAGGTCACAAGATTGGAGCCAGCTGGTGTAGGTGGCTACAGAGGCCACACTCTCTAACCACCATGGACCAGGGCTTAGATGCTGGAGGGATGGCTCTCCTGGGCAAACCTGGCACTCATGGCAGTGGCTCATGCTGTGCCCAGTTGTGGAATGCAATCCTCCCTGACTGGAAAATCCCACTGTCATCCCATTCTAAATCCCACCTTCTCCAGGCATTCCTCACGGGACAGACATTTCTGGGAGCCCTGTAGTTGATGTCATGATGACAGAGATGGCCAAGTTCTCCTTCCTCTCCTCAATAGCCCTCATCGTTCCCTCTCTGTCTTCTTCGAACTCTGAGAGCAGGAATGAGGGACCTGTCCTGCCCAGTCATCCCTCAATTGGATGCCACCTTGTCTAATTCTTATCTTGGGAGTCTCAGTTAACTCTTCTTATGGGCATGCTTAAACCAAGAGGCTCAGGGCCTTGTGCTGTGTTTCTGTGCTTCTTAATCCCTTTCCTCTTTTTCACCCATCCTTCAAATATCTCTGCTCTAGCACCCATGGGTTTGTTCTCTGTATCTAGGAGTCCATTTTGTTTTCCTTGTTCATTTGTTTTCTTCTTTAGATTCCACATCTAAGTAAAATCATACAGTATTTGTTTTCCTCTAACATTTCACTTGGCATACTACCCTCTGGGTCCATCCATAGCACCTATCATATTCTGAGCAAATGGGAGGGGAAGGTGCTTACGAAGGGTGCACTGATGTGTTGATGGATAGAATAGATGGACTCATTAATGGATGGATGGGGGGATGGGGGGATGGGTGGATGGGTGGATGGATGGATGGGTGGACAGATGGATGGATGGATGGATGGATGGATGGAGCCTAACTCAAAGGCATTGAAGAAGGTCTGGTGGAGGAAGAAGAACCTAGTCAGCCAGGGAAGTAATGATAAAAAGTGTTGGTTTTTAGCTAATGCTACATTCTCCAGGGCCTTTAATACATGTTGGGAATAAACCAGTCATTTTGTTTATGTTATTTTCCCTGCTGGCTCCTTTTGGGTTCTTTTGCTGCTTCTCAGTGACTCCAGGGGAGCCATGAAAGGGGAGACAGGTGTAGGAGAGGAGGTTCAGATGCCCTAATTTGTAGACTATTTTTTAAGAGAAAGGTTTGGTGGAGAGGGGTGGAGGTGAGTTGGGGGGTTGTAGAAGCCATAAGAAACAAGAAGTTTGGATTACTTGAGGGTATGAATTATCTGGCTACTTCAGTCCCCCATTAATGTAGGAAATGAAAATAAAAACGATGTTAGTGGGGAAATAGGTCAGGAGAATCCCCAACTGAAGAAAAATGGGAACTGATTTTGGTCAAATATTGCTGGTATATATGTGGATGTTGGTTAAGCAATGTTGCATAGACTATCTTCTAATTATACATTTGGTTAACTTGAAGAAACTTTGATCTTTTACTTGTGGATGAATGTTTAAGCCCCTATCTTCAATTCCTTTTGACCCATAAGCCCTTGGACTGTGTTCTCTAATTACAATGATTTGCTTCAGTCTTTCTCCTCCTCTATGTAGCCCTTGGCTGGAGATTCAGGTTTGAGGAGCAAAATACCACATCTGCAGGAATGTAAAATTGTCAAACAGCAAAATAATCACACATTAGTGCCAGAGGAATTACATTTAATTGTTTGAAAACAGGAGCAGAGGGAACAGTGAGAGGGTAGGGTGTCCGGGCAGGAGAGCCAGGTTTCCAAAAGCCAACAGGGTGATGTAGGTACATGTCAGCAAAGACGATTCGACAGGTTAGGACCAGATCCTTGTCTGGGATGGAAATTGCAGCTGCCAGAAGTGGTAGAAATTGAGGAAGCTGTCATCCTGGTGCTGCCTTTTTCAGAGCTTGGCTGCAGGTGAGTGCAGCTGACATCTGGCTGTTGGAGGGAGGTGGTTGATTTCTTCTCTGCTTTTCCTGGGAGCTTGGCTTCTGGTCACATGTCCAACCTCAGTTTTTCTGGGGTGGGGTGTAGCACTGCATGGGTGCAGGGTAGCACTGCTGGGGTGCAAGGTAGCACTGCAGGGGTGGAGGGTAGCACTGCATGGGTGCGGGGTAGCACTGCTGGGGTGGGGGGCAGCACTGCATGGGTGCGGGGTAGCACTGCTGGGGTGGGGGACAGCACTGCTTCTGCTGAGACATTCTGAGCTGGATGTGCAACTGGAAGAAGAAAGACACAAAAATGAGAAACCCTAAAAGCCGCCAGGTCCAGGTAAACCTCCTGCTAAGTTCATGTCCTGCTCTGCTTTTCCTTTGCCCCCTGATCACCTTCCTAATTTAAGGTGCGTGAGTGTGTGTGTGTGTGTGTTTGTGTGTGTGTGTGTATAATTTGTAGCTAAATGTTTGTAAAGCATTTCAGCTCTTTCTGAGACAAGTAAAAAATAGAAGAAAGGAAGGAAGGAAGGAAAGGAAGGAAGGAAGGAAGGAAGGAAGGAAGGAAGGAAGGAAGGAAGGAAGGAAGGGGAAGCAAACAAAAAATAAACCAGTAGAGGTAAGACAGGACGGGGAGAAAGAGAACTAAAGTAATACACTGTTATGGCAATAACTTTGAACTCTGGACCAGGGTCACCTGGAATATGAGTCCTGGTAAACCATTAACTAGCCTTGTGACTGAGCAAGTTACTTCACTTTCTGCACTCACTTCTCTCAGGGCTATTGGAAGGGTTAACAACTATATAAAGATACATACATATGAAGGTGCATACATACATATGTAAATGTATGCAGGTTTATATGGATTTGTTCACACATGGTAACTAGCTCATGACAAGCACTGTGTAAGTATTCCGATTTATTAAACAAATTTCTAAAAATTCAAAAAGAATGGCAAGGAACATTTTAACTACACTCTAAGGGAATTTATAGAAAACTAGAGGCCCGGTGCACAAAATTCATGCACTCAGGGGGTGGTCCCTCAGCCCGGCCTGTGCCCTCTCACAGTCCAGGAATCCTTGAGGGATGTCTGACTGACAGGAGGCAGAAGAGGCTCCCACCTCTGCCGCTTCGCTCACTACCTGTGAGCCTGGCTTCTGGCTGAGTGGCATGCACTGTGGGCATGCACTGACCACCAGGGGGAAGCTCCTGCATTGAGTGTCTGTCCCCTGGTGGTTAGTGTACATCATAGTGATGGATTGTTTCACCATTCAGTTGATTTGCATATTATATAGGATAGGCATCTAGAGATGAAATTAACTGTTTCCATTTTAATTACAGTGAGGAAAGCGAATGTCAGAGAGGGAAGTAATTGATCTCTAGGCGCACAGCACCTGTGGGGCAGGTGGAAACAGTGATCCTCGATTCCAGGAGTGGGACCTCATCACTGTGCCACAACCTCTTGTCCCTGCTGTTTTGTCCTCCTAGGGCCTCTGTACTTCCACCCCCTGAGGCAGCCTGCTATCCTCCCTCCCAGAATTCACCTCTCCTTTAAAGGGCAGTTCTGAAAGTTCCTCTGCCCCATAGCTGCTGCCCCCTTCTCCTTCTACTGAGTCTGTCTTGAATCTGGGAATATTCAACACTCACAGCACACCAGCAGGAACCTCAAGACTCAGGCCTCTGAGCAGACCCCCTCCCCATCTCAGCCCACCTTCCCACACCCCTCACCCGACTTTCAATCTGAGACAGATTGGTCCCAAAGGATACAAAGGAGAATGATGCTCAAACCACCCAGAGCTCCAGCCTCAGCTCCCAGTCAGAGTTTGGAGCCTTTGGAGCAAGGCTATGAGGAGCAGCGCTATTTTGCCAGACTTACCCCAGTTCACCAGAGCTTCTGAAGCATGGCAGTGCAAGGGGTCTGTTCTGTCTCCACCCCATGACACCTATCCCTAAGCACTGTGACTGGAGCCCTTCTAGAAGCACAGGTACTGCAGCTGAATCCAGCCTATGAGGATGCCTGCACCCAGCCTGGCTGTCCCCCCATCATGCTCTGCCTGCTAGAGGCCCCCAGTTCCAACCCTGGTTGGCTCACACTTACCAGGCCCACAGGAAGGATGGCTGGACAGGCTTCTAGTGGGATGTTGAGCTGAGCAGGGGCCAGGGCACCCTTTATACCAGTCTCAGACTAGTTGACTTTCTAGGTTGAAGGTGATGGACTCATTCCACCACTGAAGTTGGTCAAAGTCCTCCAGCCCCTCCCTGACTTATCACAGGCACCTGAAGTAAAATAGCAAAACTTCAGGGCCCCTATTCATAGACAGACATAGCTCCTGCCTGGCCAGAGGGCTCTGGGGCTCAGGCACTCCTGCCTCACTCATGACCTGGCCACAGGGAGGTGAGGGAGGCAGCTCAGGAACCGGGTCCCCTTTTCCTATTGTTTTGTGTCCTCAGCCAAGCATCTCTGAATCTCAATTTCTCCACCTGTAGATTGGGTTTATCCTCATATTAGACTGGGATTCATTTCCAAGGGCAAGAAATGGAAAGTTATGTTTCTCTCTGGAACATCCACACAGGGTATGTGGTGTAAAGGTGGGAAGAATCACTTCTCATGAAGAGATGGGGTTCCTGGGGATTCTCTTGGCAATTAGCCCACAGCCCATCAGCTCTCAGGGCCTATCTATAGCTCTGTGCTGTCAGGAAATAAACCCTGTCTTCAGGGGAGAGGGCTTTAGGCCCAACAGGGACAAATGGAAGGCTTCTAGGGGTCTCCTGCTACGTGCCATAGCTCTCCAGGCCCCATGTCCAAGACTGTAGTTCAAAACCTCCCAAGAGTAAAAACTCATAGAAATTTCAGAGATGGGCCACTTTAGGCAAGAAAATAGGCATTCAATACACAATATATCAAATGAAGACTGTTTTTTATGATGCTAAATCAACCACTTTCTAGAATTTTTGTGGAAATAAATGCATAAAGGTATGAAGCTAAAACAAATCATCTGTTACTTTCTCCACACCATTCTCTAAAAAGAGCTTAAGTCATGTTACAGTTTAGGTACTGCAGCATGTCCCTCCCCAATTTTGATGGTGACTCAGCACATCCAGAATAAAGTCCAAACTCACTGCCCTGATGTCAGAGACCCCTGCTAAGGGGCCTCAGTTCCCAGGAGAAGCCCAGTGCTCCCCACAGACTTTTTGTGGAGCTTGCCACTCCTGGGCCCCTGGATCTTTGTGCCTCAGCATCAGCATGAAGGCACAGACCAGTGGTTCTCAACCTTGCCTGCACATTAGAGTCACCTGGGAATCTTTTTAAAATCCTGATTTCTGGGCCTCGTCCTCCAGAAATTCTGTTTCTTTGTTATGGGGTGGGGTGGGCCACAACATTAGTAACAAACAGAATTTCCGGAGGATGAGGCCCAGAAATCAGCATTTTAAAAAGATTCCCAGGTGATTCTAATGTGCAGCCAAGGTTGAGAACCACTGGCACAGATTATCCCATCTATAGGGTTATCTTCTGGCTCACTTCATATCAGCAATAACCATTGAGGGCCTTTGTTTGTATTTGGTCACTTGTCCATTTCCTCTCTCTCCAATTGGAAAATAATCTTTATAAGGTAGGGGTTGCTTTGCCTGGAGTGTGTTCCAACATATCCCCAGAACCCATCATAACCACAGCATGGACCCAGTGCTCTACAAATGTTACGTAAAGGAAGGAATGGACTGTGACTCTCATTACGGGGAGATAACTACTATCAAAGAAGGTAGTGTTATCTGTGTGTTCATGTGTGTAAAAAAACAATTATGATATGGTTTTTAATAATTGTTTTATAGCTTATTTTATGGACATTATTTATTTAAACCACTTCTTTACAAGCAAATAAAAACAGACCTGTTAGAACAATATGAAGACCAATACTCTGCCGCTAGTGTGTCACAGATATGCAATGAGTGCCAGTGCAGACAAACCAAGCATGTGGTCAATGTGGGACATCTCCCAATGTGTGGCCATCAGGGGCACCCACATCCTCTGCTGGAGGCCAGCATGGTGCCTCCACAGTAATGCCCCCTTCCTGGTGCATGTCCTCGCTCTCTGTTGGCCCCAGTCACACAGGGTCTCTGTGTGCTTTGTTTGCATCCTATGCTTTTCCTTTTTTTCCTGTGGTTGTTCCTCCTACTCAGGGCCTTACTAGTCCTTTGCATTGTGGCCCCCATCCCTCCAGGAGGGGGAGCACCACCTCCGTTTAGCAAATGAGGAAACTGAAACCCAGAGAGGTTAAGTGCTTGGCCAAAGTCCTGTAGTTGGTAAGTGGTTGGGCCAGAATTCAAGCCCCCATCAGCTGGGTTCCATCCCTCCAGGAGGGGGAGCACCACCTCCGTTTAGCAAATGAGGAAACTGAAACCCAGAGAGGTTAAGTGCTTGGCCAAAGTCCTGTAGTTGGTAAGTGGTTGGGCCAGAATTCAAGCCCCCATCAGCTGGGTTCTAAGACAGAACTCTGTGCTGCCTCCTGTGGCCTCTACGCAAATTACATGTTTTCTGTCCTTTTCACTGCATCCTGTGCAGGCAGACAGGACAGGAGTGGGCAGCAAGGCACCCTTGTAGTGGAGCCTTTACCCAGAATGAGTGACCCAGCTTTACTAACCCAGGGAACTGGTCCACTGAGTCCACTCCCTTTAGATTGTAACTGAGCCTTTAGCATAGTCCTGTTGAAAGGCTGCTCTGGCTTCATTTTAGTTCTGACACAAGGGCTTACAAGGAGGAAGTCACAGTTAGCAAGACATCTCCAAATGGAAGGTGCATCTTGAGCAGCAAGAATTGGGCTGAAGGTCCATGCAGCCTGTCTTGGGGCTTGTTTCCTCTGGTGACCTCAAAGGACAGTCTCTAATTTCAGCTAATGGAGCTTTCTCACAGAGGCAGCTTTAATTACCACTCAGGTCCCAGTCTTCCTCCCACAAAAGTCATCTGGCTTCCAGCCCTGGGAGAGACAGTCCCTCTTGGTTGAACCTAGAGGTAGAAGGAGCTCCTGATCAGCCCCACTGTCAGCCATGTTTGCTGCTCTTTTGGCACCTGTGCCGGTCCTGAGCACATGCCTGGCCTTTCTCACCTCTTCACAAGGTTCCTGCTCTCTGATCCTATCTCTTCAACTTTCCCTCTTTTCACATCCCCTGTCCTGCACTCAGGGATCACCAGCACCCTGGGAGAGAAAACCAACACTCTGCTCACTACCCAGTTTGTTCCAAAGAGTGTCAAAAAGAGCCTCTTTTGATCAAGATTCTGATTTTACATCTCTATTCCCAGAGGGCCCAATCATAATACAAGACATAATGGGAGACCAACAGAAAACTCTATTAAGATTATGGTAGCAGGCGGCACTTTCCTGACTATCTCCAAAGAGAATAGCATATATGCAAGCATGCACACACACACACACACACACACACACACACACACGGCCACTCTTCTGAGCCAGTCTCAAGCAGAGGATGGTGTAAGAACATTCCATGAAGACTTGAATGGAAGGTGGCAAACTGCTGTCAGTTGGTTTTAAAAACCACAAGCTAAATTCTCAGCATCTCCCCACAGAAACCATCTAGCTCCAGGCACATTTGACTTGCCATTTAGTCTGTCTTTCTTCAAGGCCATGAACAGCAAGTCAAAGGGCTCCTGGCCAGGTCCTCAGGGGACAGAGGTGGCATCTAAGCATTCCATTGGACATGGCCCAGAGTTCTCTCTCGACCAAGTACTATGCGAACTGCAAATGAGAACAACTCAGCCCTGCTTGTCCAGGAAAAGTTTTCAGCTTAACCTTGGGGGAAGATAGAATTAGTAAAGAAGATGAGCTTGCGTGAAAGACAGGCCTATATTTGAATCCTAGCTTGTCAGCTACTAGCTGTGTGGCCTGGGGCAAAGTTTACTATTTCCTTGGCTCATATTATCATATGCAAAATAAGATTTTTATCTTTTATAGTAGTAATAAATATTGTATAGAATAGCAGCGTTAAAATCCTAGTATAGTGCAAGCAGGTTAGTGCTAAGATTGAGGAATATTAAAATATAGGTGTTTATTTTAGCTAGACTTGCTCTGTGCCTTTTCAAGGAAGCCATACAAAATGTCTGGTACCTGAGAGTCCCCATTCCAGCCTTACCTCTTTAAGGCTTTTGCATGACTGTAACTAGTTTGAAGAAGAGATTCAATAAAGATCGCAGTGAGTCACCTCAGACTGAGACAGGAGATGAAGGAAGCTGATAAAGAACCAGCAAGCGCCACATTGTCTCCTGCAGGTCAGGAGATGGAACCCAGGGAAAGGATCACGCGGGAGGCAGAACCTCTTTGTCTAGTGCACTTTATTCGGAGCTATAATGCCTTCTAACCCATTGAAGGTGACCTTGTTCCCTCAGCCCTTGGGGACTAAGGAGACTCCAGCAAAAGGGCTGCCTGGAGAGCTGAGGACAGAGAAAATGGTTTCCTTTTGCTTTCATTCAAGAGTGAGATGCAAGCAGCCATAGTCTAATACGTAATAGCTGGGGTGAACATTCCAGAAGACAGGGGACTAAGATAAATTTCAAGGAGCCAGGAGTTGCTGTCAATAATGACTGTTCTCTGCCCTGGAGAGAAGCCCCAACAACAGCAGCCCTGACATGCACAAAGGGACACAGGTGGCACCACTGTGAGCTGGGAGGAGTTTCAGCAGAACTAGGTGGAGGCCAAGTGACTGTGACTCAGTGCCAGTCATTTGTAATCCCCCAGGAATGACAGGCAGCCGAGCCTCATGTGCAAACATGCAGGAAAAGGCAGAGCCAACTGAACCGGGCCACACCCACAGCAGGGCCCAGCCACTGGATTCCTGGTGGCTAGAGTTGGGGCCTCTCTGTGAAAGCCATCACCATTTGGGGATCCCCCTGAGGCAGAGCAGGGTGTGTGCCCCCACCCAGTGACAGAGGTGTCCTCACTTTCCCAGGGGACTTGTGAAGGAGCAAACGGATGAAGGATGGGCAGACCACCCCTGTCTGTCTGCTTGAGCCTCTTATTCTGATCTTGAAGCTTGTTTATGCTCATTTTTGCACTTAGAAATGTTAAGTAAGTTGGCCAAAGTTACTCAATAAAAAGTAGGGAAGTAGGGATTGAACCTGGGTCTTTCAGGCTCCAAGAGGGTGGGTATTTTTTTCCTGTACTTACCCCCATCCATGGTCTTTCTTTA